AGACACCACAGCCCTGTTGGTCCACCAGGCTGTTGCTTGGAGCGGCCCACATACCCACCACAGCCCGGTTGGTCCACCAGGCTGTTGTTTGGAGCGGCCCACATGCCCACATATCCACCACAGCCTACCTAGCCAGTACGATGTCTTAAGAAGAACGTAGATTTCTTAATCGTTACTTTTCTACAATTGCGTTTGTAACGTTTGAGTCTATATCTTAAGAAAGACAGTGTGCTTGACACAACAGCTTGATGTGACACAAGAGGTTTCGGGGCTTAACGTCCCCGCGGCCCGGTCCTCGACCAGGCTTCCTTTTAGTTACACACCCCCAGGAAGCAGCCCGTAGCAGCTGTCTAACTCCCAGGTACCTATTTACTGCTAGGTGAACACTAGCATCAGGGTGAAAGAAACTGCCCATTTGTCTCCGCCTCCACCGGGGATCGAACCCGGAACCTCAGGACTACGAGTCCCGAACGCTGTCCACTCAGCCGTCAGACTCCTTCCTGAACTTACTCAGCGGATGGAGGTAATTCATTTGTATTGTAGCCTCGAGCCTCGCACTTTATGGTGCTGGGGGAGTGTGTTATGGTGCTGGGGGAGTGTGTTATGGTGCTGGGGGAGTGTGTTATGGTGCTGGGGGAGAGTGTTATGGTGCTAGGGGAGAGTGTTATGGTGCTAGGGGGTGTGTTATGGTGCTGGGGGAGAGTGTTATGGTGCTAGGGGAGTGTGTTATGGTGCTGGGGGAGAGTGTTATGGTGCTAGGGGGAGTGTGTTATGGTGCTAGGGGGAGTGTGTTATGGTGCTGGGGGAGTGTGTTATGGTGCTGGGGGAGTGTGTTATGGTGCTGGGGGAGTGTGTTATGGTGCTGGGGGAGTGTGTTATGGTGCTGGGGGGGGGAGTGTTATGGTGCTGGGGGAGTGTGTTATGGTGCTAGGGGGGAGTGTGTTATGGTGCTAGGGGGAGTGTGTTATGGTGCTGGGGGGGAGTGTTATGGTGCTGGGGGGGGTGTAGTGTGTGTTATGGTGCTGGGGGGGAGTGTTGTGGTGCTGGGGGAGAGTGTTATGGTGCTAGGGGGAGTGTTATGGTGCTAGGGGGTGTGTTATGGTGCTAGGGGGAGTGTGTTATGGTGGGCTGGGGGAGAGTGTTATGGTGCTGGGGGGGGGATGTGTTGTGGTGCTGGGGGAGTGTTTTAGGGGGGGAGTGTGTTATGGTGCTAGGGGGAGTGTGTTATGGTGCTAGGGGAGTGTGTTATGGTGCTGGGGGGAGTGTTATGGTGCTAGGGGGAGTGTGGTGCAGGGGAGTGTGTTATGTGCTGGGGGAGTGTGTTATGGTGCTAGGGGAGAGTGTTATGGTGCTAGGGGAGGTGTTATGGTGCTAGGGGAGTGTGTTATGGTGCTGGGGAGAGTGTTATGGTGCTGGGGGAGAGTGTTATGGTGCTGGGGGGGGTGTGTTATGGTGCTGGGGGAGTGTGTTATGGTGCTGGGGGGGGAGTGTTATGTGCTGGGGGAGTGCTAGGGGGGAGTGTTATGGTGCTGGGGGGGAGTGTTATGGTGCTAGGGGGGAGTGTTATGGTGCTGGGGGAGTGTTATGGTGCTAGGGGAGTGTGTTATGGTGCTGGGGGAGAGTGTTATGGTGCTGGGGGGAGTGTGTTATGGTGCTAGGGGGAGTGTTATGGTGCTGCTAGGGGGAGTGTTATGGTGCTAGGGGGGAGTGTTATGGTGCTGGGGGGGGTGTGTTATGGTGCTGGGGGGGAGTGTTATGGTGCTGGGGGGGAGTGTGTTATGGTGCTGGGGGGGGAGTGTTATGGTGCTAGGGGAGAGTGTTATGGTGCTAGGGGGAGTGTTATGGTGCTGGGGGAGTGTGTTATGGTGCTAGGGGGAGTGTTATGGTGCTGGGGGAGTGTGTTATGGTGCTGGGGAGTGTGTTATGGTGCTGGGGGAGTGTGTTATGGTGATACACCACCACCCTCGTTACACTGGACATAAGTGGGTGTTTACCAAACAAACGTTTTGACACATTAAACGTTTCAAGTTTGTTTTTAAACGTTCCGGCACGACCAGTGTCTCCGCTTCGACTGTGAGTTATAAACGTCGCTATTGTGGTTATAAGGTGTCGATTGTGGTTGGTAACGTCACGATTGTGGTTAGAAAGGCGGGGCCCAAGAGCTAAGAGCTGGATCCTGCAGGTACAATGAACAAACAGCTACTGGAGCGGAAGATAAGGGCAGGAAGAGGTGCCAAAGGCATAAGATCCTGCCAGGGCGGAAGATAAGGGCAGGAAGAGGTGTCAAAGGCATAAGATCCTGCCAGGGCGGAAGATAAGGGCTGGAAGAGGTGCCAAAGGCATAAGATCCTGCCAGGGCGGAAGATAAGGGCTGGAAGAGTGTCAAAGGCATAAGATCCTGCCAGGGCGGAAGATAAGGGCTGGAAGAGGTGTCCAAGGCATAAGATCCTGCCAGGGCGGAAGATAAGGGCTGGAAGAGGTGTCAAAGGCATAAGATCCTGCCAGGGCGGAAGATAAGGGCTGGAAGAGGTGTCAAAGGCATAAGATCCTGCCAGGGCGGAAGATAAGGGCTGGAAGAGGTGCCAAAGGCATAAGATCCTGCCAGGGCGGAAGATAAGGGCAGGAAGAGGTGCCAAAGGCATAAGATCCTGCCAGGGCGGAAGATAAGGGCTGGAAGAGGTGTCAAAGGCATAAGATCCTGCCAGGGCGGAAGATAAGGGCAGGAAGAGGTGCCAAAGGCATAAGATCCTGCCAGGGCGGAAGATAAGGGCAGGAAGAGGTGTCAAAGGCATAAGATCCTGCCAGGGCGGAAGATAAGGGCTGGAAGAGGTGTCAAAGGCATAAGATCCTGCCAGGGCGGAAGATAAGGGCAGGAAGAGGTGCCAAAGGCATAAGATCCTGCCAGGGCGGAAGATAAGGGCTGGAAGAGGTGCCAAAGGCATAAGATCCTGCCAGGGCGGAAGATAAGGGCTGGAAGAGGTGTCAAAGGCATAAGATCCTGCCAGGGCGGAAGATAAGGGCAGGAAGAGGTGTCAAAGGCATAAGATCCTGCCAGGGCGGAAGATAAGGGCAGGAAGAGGTGCCAAAGGCATAAGATCCTGCCAGGGAGCATGAGAAGTGTTGCCGGAACCAATGCGGTTGTCTTCACGACGTAATTGGCCAAGTTTCTTGCAGGAAGTGCCGGAGGCACGGGGGGGGGGAGTGGCAGGGGAAAGCGCCAAGCCATTATGTGTATATTGCACTGGGAAGGGGTCAGGATATGGGATGGGACGGAGGGAAGGAATGGTGGCTAACCTACCTTTATATTTATCTTATAATACTGATAAGTTTATAAAGAATACTGATGTTTATAGAGGTCAGTATTAAGCGCTTATTATAGCGTAACATGGTCTTGTCCGTATTGATTTGTGTATTCACCTAGTTGTATTCACCTAGTTGTGTTTGCGGGGGTTGAGCTTTGCTCTTTCGGCCCGCCTCTCAACTGTCAATCAACTGTTTACTAATTATTTTTTTCCCCACACCACACACGCCCCAGGAAGCAGCCCGTGACAGCTGACTAACTCCCAGGTACCTATTTACTGCTAGGTGAACAGGGGGCATTCAGGGTGAAAGAAACTTTGCCCATTTGTTTCTGCCTGGAGTGGGAATCGAACCCGCGCCACAGAATCACGAGTCCTGCTCGCTATCCAAACACACAGATTTGTGTGTTTACACACATACCAGAAAGTACAGTTGGGAAAAGTACACATGTTGGTGAGTGGTTCAGTCTTGCAAAGTCAACAACACACGCATCTCTCCTGACGGTTGAGAGGCGGGACCAAAGAGCCAGAGCTCAACCCCCGCAAGCACAACTAGGTTACCTTACCTTGAGGTGCTTCCGGAGCTTAGCGTCCCCGCGGCCCGGTCGTCGACCAGGCCTCCTGGCTGGTTGCTGGACTGAACAACCAGTATTTACCCAGGTCTTTCAAACCAGTATTTACCCAGGTCTTTCAAACCAGTATTTACCCAAGTCGTAAATGGTGAGTTGACATGGTGTTTGTTCCAGCTTTGTAGGGCTATTAGGCCTTAATTACCGTTGTCATCATTTAACGTGATATAATAAAGTAGACAAAAAGGTGGTAGAAGACAATATCCAAGTGGATACCCCGGGTCGAATATGGCTTCCTGGAGTGCCGAGGATTCTCTTCGCCATGAGGGGGGGACCGCCTGTCAGTACACGGGGAGGAAGGGGGAGGGGAAGTAAGCTCCTGATTCTGGGTAAATACTGGTTTGGAAGACCTGGGTAATACTGGTTTGGAAGACCTGGGTAAATACTGGTTTGGAAGGGAGGAAGGGGGAGGGGTAAATAGTAAGCTCCTGATTCTGGGTAAATACTGGATAAATACTGGTTTGGAAGACCTGGGTAAATACTGGTTTGGAAGACCTGGGTAAATACTGGTTTGGAAGACCTGGGTAAATACTGGTTTGGAAGACCTGGGTAAATACTGGTTTGGAAGACCTGGGTAAATACTGGTTTGGGACACTGGTAAATACTGGTTTGGAAACACAGTTGTTGATTTGGGGAAGAGATTACTGGGTAACATGTCACACTTGGGATCACTTGATTGTTTCAAGCGTAGGCTAGACATGTATATGAATGAGTTTGGGTAGATATAAACTTGTTCTGTCCCTTTTGGATCAAAAGACCTTCTGCAGTTTCCTGTGCCCCTGTGCAGTTAGGGAAGAACCAGAGGGATATTATAGAACGCAACATACCCAGAGGGAGCCGGTGGCCGAGCGGACAGCACGCTGGACGCGTGATCCTGTGGTCCTGGGTTCGATCCCAGGCACCGGCGAGAAACAGTGGGCAGAGTTTCTTTCACCTTAATGCGCATGTTCACCTAGCAGTAAAATAGGTACCTGGGTGTTAGTCAGCTGTCACGGGCTGCTTCCTGGGGGTGGAGGCTTGGTTGAGGACCGGGCCGCGGGGACACTAAAGCCCCGAAATCATCTCAAGATAACCTCAAGATAGACTAAACACCGATATTCCTTGTAGAAAAACACAGTTTTGGAGTGATATTAGTGGCGAGAGTTTGGGATTAGTCACACAGCTTAGACACGTCAAACTGTAGCAGATGGTTTAGTAAATGTTTAAAATATTTCCTCCTTGAGTTACGTCCAGTGTTCTTAGATAATTATGGAGACTTGTGAGCCGTTACTCATTAGCATAAAGAATACAGTAATGACATGGTAATATGTGCTGTTGTAACTTGGGGTGCGGGGGAGAGGTACAGTGGTTACCCTAGAGTTTCCTGGTTGCTGTAGTGACGACGGGCTTTGACCTGTGTGGGGAAGAGGTACAGCGGTTACCCTAGAGTTTCCTGGTTGCTGTAGTGACGACGGGCTTTTGACCTGTGCGGGGGAGAGGTACAGTGGTTACCCTACAGTTTCCTGGAAGAGGTACAGCGGTTACCCTACAGTTTCCTGGTTGCTGTAGTGACGACGGGCTTTGACCTGTGCGGGGGAGAGGTACAGTGGTTACCCTACAGTTTCCTGGAAGAGGTACAGCGGTTACCCTAGAGTTTCCTGGTTGCTGTAGTGACGACGGGCTTTGACCTGTGTGGGGAAGAGGTACAGCGGTTACCCTAGAGTTTCCTGGAAGAGGTACAGTGGTTACCCTAGAGTTTCCTGGAAGAGGTACAGTGGTTACCCTAGAGTTTCCTGGAAGAGGTACAGCGGTTACCCTAGAGTTTCCTGGTTGCTGTAGTGACGACGGGCTTTGACCTGTGTGGGGGAGAGGTACAGCGGTTACCCTAGAGTTTCCTGGAAGAGGTACAGCGGTTACCCTAGAGTTTCCTGGTTGCTGTAGTGACGACGGGCTTTGACCTGTGCGGGGAAGAGGTAAAGCGGTTACCCTACAGTTTCCTGGAAGAGGTACAGCTGTTACCCTAGAGTTTCCTGGTTGCTGTAGTGACGACGGGCTTTAACCTCTCTCTCTCCCCCCCACACCCCCTTGTTAGTCTCCTGACGGGGCCTCCTGGTCGGTGGCTTGGTCAACTAGGCTGTTAGGTGCTGCTGTGTGCATTCTGACACAATGTATATAGCTCCTGGTTGGTCAGGTTAGCTGGTTGATCAACACCTTTAGGTCTCTGGAGGCTCTTGTTGTTATAGATTCAGCTACAAAGAACCAGTTGCAAGTAGCACGGGCTATGGTGAGCCCGTACTCTGGAGGTGTTGAACATGTTCCCATTTGAACAGTGAGAGAGATCAGCAAGTTATGTTTCTTACATGTAGTATTAAGGTGTTAAAAGGGTCCTTAATCTGTATAGAATCATCCCTATTGCATATTGCTATAGGGATGGAAGATAGTTTGAGAGATTTTAAGTGGTGTTAGTAATGTAGATGTAATGTAGATGTTGTCTTGAATGTATTCGGTCAGTTAAAGTTCCTTGGTGGTGCTCTAGGGAGCCTGTCGGCCGAGCGGACAGCACACTGGACTTGTGGTCCTGGGTTCGATCCCAGGCGCCGGCGAGAAACAATGGGCAAAGTTTCTTTCACCCCTATGCCCCTGTTACCTAGCAGTAAAATAGGTACCTGGGTGTTAGTCAGCTGTCACGGACTGCTTCCTGGGGGTGGAGGCCTGGTCGAGGACCGGGCCGCGGGGACACTAAAAGCCCCGAAATCATCTCAAGATAACCTCTCTAGGTCAATAATTTGTTGTTTTGCTTTGAATTAGAGGCTGGAGAGAGAGAGAGGCTGGCCTCGGGGTAGGAGTGTCTGAGATAGAAGCGAGGGAAGAGGACGAAGGGTGTCTGAGATAGAAGCGAGGGAAGAGGACGAAGGGTGTCTGAGATAGAAGCGAGGGAAGAGGACGAAGGGGACGCTTAACTATCCCTCAAATGAGTTGTTTAAAGTCTTAAGAAAGTGAAGAGGAAGAGGAGGGTGACTCAGAGACTCCTGCCCATCTCAATAAGAAGGATGGAAGAGGGAGAGGAGATGTTTCTGTCCCGTGTCTTAAAGGAAGGGGAACAATGGGACAGAAGGAGTCAGGTGAGAGGGGTGAATGGGTTACTCCTGGCTCTTGTAGGAGTTTGTAAGACATTTTAGATGAAGGGAGAGAGAGGGAGAGGTAGTGTAGAGAGGAGTCAAGATTAGGGGGGTTAAGGCTGGCTGGGTGACTCATGGGGGGGAAATGATAGTGAGGGGAGGTAGGCATGCTTGCGTGTGTCTCCTGAGAGAGGGAGGGAGGGGGGGGGGTTGTGAGAGTGATAGTGAGAGTATTGGTGGTTGGCAGGAGGTGAAGGTGGCCTGTATTGCCTCACTGTCACTCACAATCACCCGTGACTCAGGCGCCATTCATGGCTTCCTTCCCTCTCTCTCTCTCTCTCCCCTCTGCTCATCACTTCTTTCATTCTCACTTTTCCCCTCTAATTTACTTATACATTCCCTCCTCCTCCTCCACTGGTCACTTCCATCTTCTTGCTAAGGCAAGGTGACTCATACGTCAGGCTGCGAGCAGCCGCGTCTAACAGCCTGGTTGATCAGTCCAGCAACCAGGAGGCCTGGTCGACGACCGGGCCGCGGGGACACTAAGCCCCGGAAGCACCTCAAGGTAACCTCAAGTTAGGAGGACGTTGAACAACCGCAGACCTCTGATGTTTATACAGTGTTCTAGGGGGCCTCGTAGCCTGGTGGGTAGCGCGCAGGACTCGTAATTCTGTGGCGCGGGTTCGATTCCCGCACCAGGCAGAAACAAATGGGCAAAAGTTTCTTTCACCCTGAACGCCCCTGTTACCTAGCAGTAAATAGGTACCTGGGAGTTAGTCAGCTGTCACGGGCTGCTTCCTGGGGGTGGAGGCCTGGTCGAGGACCGGGCCGCGGGGACACTAAAGCCCCGAATGCATCTCAAGATAACCTTCTCTGATTGTGCCTATGGCACCTCTGCTCTTCACTGGTTCTTCATCTGGTAAGTTTAGCAGAAACTTGTCAAGGTCTCTGTGGAAAACCTCTACTCTAGTTCCAGCAACATATTTATATATACATATATAATATGTCGTAGCTAATCATGGGATCGCACTATTTGGCCTATTATGCATGGCCCGATTTGCCTACTAGGCGGAGTGATTTTCGAAGACTTTTTCAAAAAATAATTGCTGACCTAGTTATTTTAGTGCTAGTGTGAGTTAGGTTTGGTCATATTTGTACGTTAGTTTTCACTCAAATAAAAATGAAAATCATACACTGGAAAGATCTGTTATTCCAAAAGGAAAAAAAAATGGAAAAATATATTTTTTCAATAAAACTGGCTTGTTGGGGCTTGAGCAAGTTGAAAAATTAACTGTCCGCCCACTGCATACTGCGATCACCTTCTGTGGTTGAGTGTTCAATAAACCCTTGAACTGTATGTTTAACACATCTCTAACCCTGTCCATGGAGGACAGAAGAAAATGTATATATGCTGGTTAGCATTGTAAATGTCCGGCCACGTCTGTGGTAGAAAATAATAATAATAATAAAAAAAATAAACTGCATACTGCCCCCCAGCCTTCATGGCATCATAGGAAGTTGATGGTTGGTGTTGTATGAGGTTCAGTTACTGGGAACCAAGAGTGGCAGGTAGCACGGGCTATGGTGAGCCCGTAGTGGTCTTACCCGGCACAGGAGCGGGGCAAGTAGCACGGGCTATGGTGAGCCCGTAGTGGACTTACCTGGCACAGGAGCGGTGCAAGTAGCACGGGCTATGGTGAGCCCGTAGTGGACTTACCCGGCACAGGAGCGGGGCAAGTAGCACGGGCTATGGTGAGCCCGTAGTGGACTTACCCGGCACAGGAGCGGTGCAAGTAGCACGGGCTATGGTGAGCCCGTAGTGGACTTACCCGGCACAGGAGCAGGGCAAGTAGCACGGGCTATGGTGAGCCCGTAGTGGACTTACCTGGCACAGGAGCGGGGCAAGTAGCACGGGCTATGGTGAGCCCGTAGTGGACTTACCTGGCACAGGAGCGGGGCAAGTAGCACGGGCTATGGTGAGCCCGTAGTGGACTTACCTGGCACAGGAGCGGGGCAAGTAGCACGGGCTATGGTGAGCCCGTAGTGGACTTACCCGGCACAGGAGTGACGCTTGAGTATACTCAATAGTTCCTGTGACTCTTTGAGTATATCATTGGTGGGTAGCATACTTCAGGTAAGGGTTCGGGCCTAGGGGATGCTGAGTATAGTGGGCGGGGTGTGGGTATACTCACCTAATTGTGCTTGCGGGGGTTGAGCTCTGGCTCTTTGGTCCCGCCTCTCAACTGTCAATCAACTGTTTACTACTACTAATTTTTTTTTTTTTCCACCACACACACACACACCCCAGGAAGCAGCCCGTGACAACTGACTAACTCCCAGGTACCTATTTACTGCTAGGTAACAGGGGCATTCAGGGTGAAAGAAACTTTGCCCATTTGTTTCTGCCTCGTGCGGGAATCGAACCCGCGCCACAGAATTACGAATCCTGCGCGCTATCCACCAGGCTACGAGGCCCCAGATGTGTGTGTGTGTGTGTGTGTACGTACTCACCTAGTTGTACTCAGCTAGTTGTGCTTGCGGGGGTTGAGCTCTGGCTCTTTGGTCCCGCCTCTCAACCGTCAATCAACAGAGGTGTGTGTGTGTGGATCCTTATCCACGGTGGATAAGGAGGAGGATTGTGGGATTGATAGTAGTGATAGTGAATGGTGTTGGCAGTGATTGTGGTGTCAGTTTGACGATTGGAATAGTGATTATCGGTCATAGGTAATCTCTAAATTGGAATGATACTGTAATTGGTATAATAATACTTATTACTTATAATATCATTATAACTTTATATTAGATTTTCACCTCAGACCTTTTATAGAAAACGTGTTGACTTAGGCCTACATGGAGTCACTGTCATCACACACACCATCTTGAGGTTATCTTGAGATGAGGTCAACCAGGCTGTTGGACGCGGCTGCTCGCAGTCTGACGTATGAATCACAGCCTGGTTGATCAGGTATCCTTTGGAGGTGTTTGTCAAGTTCTCTCTTGAACACTGTGAGGGGTCGACCAGTTATGCCCCTTATGTGTAGTGGAAGCGTGTTGAACAGTCTCGGGCCTCTGATGTTGATAGTTCTCTCTTGAACACTGTGAGGGGTCGGCCAGTTATGTCCCTTATGTGTAGTGGAAGAGTGTTGAACAGTCTCGGGCCTCTGATGTTGATAGTTCTCTCTTGAACACTATGAGGGGTCGACCAGTTATGTCCCTTATGTGTAGTGGAAGCGTGTTGAACAGTCTCGGGCCTCTGATGTTGATAGTTCTCTCTTGAACACTGTGAGGGGTCGGCCAGTTATGCCCCTTATGTGTAGTGGAAGAGTGTTGAACAGTCTCGGGCCTCTGATGTTGATAGTTCTCTCTTGAACACTGTGAGGGGTCGGCCAGTTATGCCCCTTATGTGTAGTGGAAGCGTGTTGAACAGTCTCGGGCCTCTGATGTTGATAGTTCTCTCTTGAACACTGTGAGGGGTCGGCCAGTTATGTCCCTTATGTGTAGTGGAAGCGTGTTGAACAGTCTCGGGCCTCTGATGTTGATAGTTCTCTCTTGAACACTGTGAGGGGTCGGCCAGTTATGCCCCTTATGTGTAGTGGAAGCGTGTTGAACAGTCTCGGGCCTCTGATGTTGATAGTTCTCTCTTGAACACTGTGAGGGGTCGGCCAGTTATGCCCCTTATGTGTAGTGGAAGCGTGTTGAACAGTCTCGGGCCTCTGATGTTGATAGTTCTCTCTTGAACACTGTGAGGGGTCGGCCAGTTATGTCCCTTATGTGTAGTGGAAGCGTGTTGAACAGTCTCGGGCCTCTGATGTTGATAGTTCTCTCTTGAACACTGTGAGGGGTCGGCCAGTTATGTCCCTTATGTGTAGTGGAAGCGTGTTGAACAGTCTCGGGCCTCTGATGTTGATAGTTCTCTCTTGAACACTGTGAGGGGTCGGCCAGTTATGCCCCTTATGTGTAGTGGAAGCGTGTTGAACAGTCTCGGGCCTCTGATGTTGATAGTTCTCTCTTGAACACTGTGAGGGGTCGGCCAGTTATGTCCCTTATGTGTAGTGGAAGAGTGTTGAACAGTCTCGGGCCTCTGATGTTGATAGTTCTCTCTTGAACACTGTGAGGGGTCGGCCAGTTATGTCCCTTATGTGTAGTGGAAGCGTGTTGAACAGTCTCGGGCCTCTGATGTTGATAGTTCTCTCTTGAACACTGTGAGGGGTCGGCCAGTTATGCCCCTTCTGTGTAGTGGAAGCGTGTTGAACAGTCTCGGGCCTCTG